CTCCGACAGTGCGGCGCTCCCTCAGCACTGACCCTCCGACAGTGCGGCGCTCCCTCAGCACTGACCCTCCGACAGTGCGGTGCTCCCTCACTACTGACCCTCTGACAGTGCGGTGCTCCCTCAGGACTGACCTCCGACAGTGCAGCGCTCCATCAGCATTGACCCTCCGACAGTGCGGCGCTCCCTCAGCACTGACCCTCCGACAGTGCGGTGCTCCCTCAGTACTGTCCGTGTGGCACTAAACAGCCTAAAGCAGGAATAGTGATGTTGGAAATAATCTGGTTGAATGGCCGAGCAGACTCAATGAGCTGATTCACTTCCAATTGCTGTCACATCTTCAGGTTTAACTGAGAGCAACTTTCCATTCTAGATTTCCACGTGATCTGAGTAAGGCGTCTATGATGAGGTGGTAGTGTCTTTTCCTGTGAGCCAAAGTGCTCAGGGTTAAGTTCCAATTTACCCAAAGCTGTGTCACAATGTATCTGCAAAGTTTTCCTTGAGAAGACGTCCTGTCTCCCTGATGGGATTTGAACTCATGGCCCTAAACTGTTCACCCTTGCCTTTGAATTAGCAACCCTTCTTGATTTTACCACCAATCCACCACCTTTCCCCCCCCCCCCCCCCCACCCCACCCCCCCCCACCCCACCCCGGTCCCACCAGTTGTGGAGTGATACAAGTGGCTCTGTCCCATAGAATGTGTATTAGCAGCCCTCCCGTGGCATTGCTGTGTTCAGAGGCCATGGGTGCGCTGAAGAGAGACTCCACTCCCACGCTTATTCGATATTTCTCTTGACCCCCAACTGCGGCAACGAGAGCCGTGCGGTTCTGAATTTGATGGCGATCAGGTGGGTTTTCAGGTGGCAGATTCTGCTGGCCAGTCCCATAGTAAGACGCAGCACCGCTCTCCCGAAGCCCGCTCCCAATGTCTCCATACCCACGTAGGGGAGAGCCTGCCTCTGTCCCCGAGGTCCAGGAATTCCATGTGATAGGAGTAGGCCATTCGGTCTGTTGTGTCAGTGCCAGCGCTTCGGAGGAGCGAGGTCCCCCATTCTTCCTCCACTTCCTTGCAGTCCTTCCTTTGGGTATCCAATTACAATTTACCTTTTCAAGGGGCAGGTTCTGATCGCACCAACTCACCACCTTCCTTCTGCTCCAAGCGCTAAACCCAACCTCTTCCAATCTTGGCTCTTACCCTCCTCCATGCTGATGAATGCTATCCCATGACTCCACCACTTTCCCCCACCCCCACCACCTCACCCCACCCCAACCATTGACATGCCCCGGGAAAGGAGTTGTGTTTGGCTGGTGATTGCAGCCTCATTAACGCCCATCTTTCATTTACACCCCCTGCCCTTCACCCACCCACCCCCTCCCCCCACCTCCTACACCAAGGTATCGAGCTTCAGGATGTCTACGATTACAATGAGTACTGGGAGATGACACGCCAGCTGTATGCCCCGTTTGACTGCACGGCCACCATGAAGTCGGGAAATGCCGACGTGTACGAGAACGAGATTCCCGGGGGTCAGTACACCAACCTGCACTTTCAGGCCCACAGCATGGGCCTGGGCAACAAATTCAAGGCAGTCAAGAAGGCCTACACTGAGGCCAACAAACTCCTCGGAGACCTCATAAAGGTGAGACCACCCTTCCAGAGCTCGGGGTTGGGGGTGGGTGGTCAGTATGTCGCGACAGAAGCCAGCTCCCCCGTCTTCTCTCCCCTTCCCACCCACCCAACGGGCCTGCCCTGGTTCCTCCAGGGATTGAAGATTAATCTCCCTGGGGATACTGACACAGGGAGATGGGGTGGGGGCGTGCGAAACCCAGGGAGGCTTCGGTTCGAGCGATTGCTTCTTCGAATGGGCGTTAGCCATGTTTACTGAATGCGGGTGGTGCAGAGCGTGGGCATTGGACTGAGAAAGACGGGAGAGAGAGACATGCAAAAGTGTCAAATTGCAAAGGGAACACCAATTTACAGATGCAAGATGAAACAGAGGCTCATCAATCAGAGAATCTGCTCTGATTTGATGACGGACAAAACTATTCTTTCCTCCCCTCCCCATTTCCAAGGTTCTCCTGCGGTAGAAATTGTTGTTCCCTTTTGAAATTTGTCGCTCTTGATGAGGTCCCTTTCTCCGGTAATTTTCATAAAGATCTGGGGGTGGTGGGGGGTGGCGGGAAGAAGGTGGTGAGGGTGCAGTTGTGGAGGTGAATGGGAAACAAGCCATTTGAGTGACACCCGAGGCTTGTCCAATCAGGGAATGTCGTGTCCGTCTGTTTTCTGGCTGGCTGTGGGAAGGAGGTTTCTGAGAGGGCCGTGTGATGCAGGTTCAATTGGTTCAGAATATTGTGAGCAGTTTTGGGCCCCGTATCTAAGGAAGGATGTGCTGGCCTTGGAGGGAGGTCCAGAGGAGGTTTACAAGAATGATCCTGAGGATGAAGGGCTTGTCATATGAGGAGCGGTTGAGGACTCTGGGTCTGTACTCGATGGGGTTTAGAAGGATCAGGGGGCGGGATCAGAGTGAAACTTACAGAATACAGAGACACCTGGATAGAGTGGGTGTGGAAAAGGTGTTTCGATGAGTTGGAGGACCTGAGGGCACAGCCTCAGAGTGAAGGGAAGACCTTTTAGAACTGAGATGAGGAGAAATTTCTTCAGCCAGATGGGGGGTGCATCTGTGGAACATATTGCTGCAGAGAACTGTGGAGGCCAATTCATGAGTGTATTTAAGACAGAGATAGATGGGTTCCTGATTAGCAAGGGGGTTAAGGGTTGCGGGGAGAAGGCAGGAGAATGGGGTAGAAAAACATAACAGCCACGATCAAATGGTGGAGTGGAATTGATGGGCTGAATGGCCTAATTCTGCTCCTATATCTTATGGTGACGAAGCCTCTGGGAATACAGCCTTTAGGAGCGATGAGTCTTCACTCAAGGAGCCAATCCCGTTGGGCTCGCTCACCTGTAGTGGGCAGGGGGAGGGGAGGGCTGCCAGATTGGCCTAACCCTTTTTGACCACAGGGTCAGCTCCCCCCTACACCTTCCAGCTGGGGGCATGGACACTCTCACCACCCCCCGCCCAATGGTGAGAAGGGAGTCACAAAGAGGCACAAACAGCCCCAGTGCTGCCCATCTCGGACGGTCTGGTGACGAGGGGAAGATGGTACCAATGTTGGTCAGGGTCCTCCACCCTCTCACCCTGGATCTCCTCGGTCTGTCGGTAGGTAACGCCCTCGTCAAAGATTGTTGGTGACCTGGCACAGTTCATGGTGCAGAACAACCTGACGCGGGAGGATGTGGAGCAGGACGCTGAAGAGCTCTCCTTCCCCCAGTCACTGGTGGAGTTCCTGCAGGGATACATCGGCATTCCACACGGAGGCTTCCCAGAGCCGTTCCGCAGCAAGGTACAGTGCTGTTCCCCAGAGCTTTTATACACCTGCCCTCCCCTCAGCTGCTGGGTACCCCCTCCCCATCCCTCTGTCTACCTCCCTCACCTCCCTAACCTCCTGATTCACAGCGACACACAAGGATGGAATTCCAGGATTTTGACCCAGCAATATTGAAGGAACGGCCGATATATTTCTAAGTCAGGATGGTGAGCGGCTCATAGAGTCATACAACACGGAAACAGGCCCTTCGGCCCAACTCGGCCATGCCGACCAGACTAAACCAGTCCCACTTACCTACGTTTGGCCCATACCCTTCTAAACCCTTCCTATTCATGGACACATCCAGATGCTTTTTAATTGTACCAGCCTCCACCACTTCCTCTGGCAGCTCATTCCATACATGCGCCACCCTCTGCATGAATAACTTTGCTCTGTAGGACCCTTCTAAATCTCTCCCCTCTCACCTTAAACCAATGCCCCTCTAGTTTTGGACTCCCCTACCCTGGGGAAAAGACCTTGGCTATTCACCCTATCCATGCCCCTCATGATTTTATAAACCTCTATAAGGTCACTCCTCAGCCTCCAGCATTCAAGAGACTACAGTTCCCAGCCCATCCTGCAGGGGGTGGTGTTCCCTTGCAGCTGCTGCCCTTGTCCTTCTAGATGGAAGTGGTCGTGGGTTTGGAAGGTGTGTCTGAGGATCTTTGGTGAATTTCTGCCGTGCATCTTGTAGATGGTACACACTGCTGCTACTGAGTGATGGAGAGACTGAATGTCAAAGGAGGACCAGTCTCCATCTTTCACCAATCTTTTAGCCACCTGTCCTCATCCTGACTCAGTGCCAATTGACTGTTGCACCTGTGAAGTGCCTTGGGCCTTTTTTACCCCTGAGGGGAAATGGCTAAAAACATAGCAAGCAAGGCAAAAGGTTGCAGGAATTCTAACACCGAAAATGCTGGAGAGCTCAGCAGGTTTGGCAGTAGCTGTGAAAAGAGAAACAGGGTCAACGTAAAGCCTGACTGTCTGGGCCCTTGGCCCACTTCCTGACCGCTCTCCCACTCAGGCCTGGGTGGACCTGCCCCAGCAGGAGCATTAACGGTGTCTCACACTCGCACACTTAGTCATACCACACACACTCACACTCACACACACACACACACACACATAACACACACTCACTCACACTCACACTCACACACTCACATTCATACACTCAGACCTGCGCACACAACACCCACGTAACACACTCACACAACTTCATAGTCACACAGTCATTTTTACACACACACATTCACACACACAATCATACTCAAAAACACACACATATACTCATATATTGACACAGACACACACTCATTCTCTGATGCATACACATACACGTGTAATCACACTCACTCACTAAAACCAACACATACACATACTGTCTCTCTCACACACTCACTCACATACACTCTTTCTCACATGCATGGACACACACACACTCCCACACTCTGACATACATATGCTCACACCCACATATACACACCCACTCATACTCACACACACACACACAGACGCACACACACAGTCAGACTCGCGCATACACACCCACATACACACACACACTCATACACACACACTTACTCACAGTCACACAATCACTCTTACACTCACACACATCCATACACACAACCACACTCAAAAACACACACATATACCCATATATTAACACAAACACTCACACAAACACTGTCGGAGGGTCAGTGCTGAGGGAGTGCCGCACTGTCGGAGGGTCAGTGCTGAGGGAGCGCCGCACTGTCGGA